CCAAGTTCCCTCCTTCAAACTCGGGGAGCAGGAGTTGTGTCATTTCCCCCACAGGCGGCAGGCGAGCCCGGGGTTTCTGACGCAGGGGCTGCCTCCAGCTCTGCTCCTTACTCTCGGGTCTTCTCGTCTCCACGTCTAAAGTGGGGGTCGCGTGTCCACACCACAGGGTTGTCTTCAGGGCCAACGAGGGTGGGAGCACGGAAACCTGCAGTGCAGCCTGGCCCAGTGGCCACATGCGTGTCTGCACTGTTCCCGCTCCCCGAGGCACCCCGACGGGGGATGCAGCTCTCTGCTCCGGCGTTCCCTCGGCTGGCCGGCCGGGAATGAGGCTGCAGGTATAGCTTCTGGAAAGGGCAGGGTGCAAACCGGGACGAGCGTAAGGAGGAAGGGAGTGCAGGGTGGGCGGCGAGGAGAAACAGCTGTTCCCTCATGTCGTGAGTTGTCTCCTTCGAGTCATTCTGAGCAAGCGTAAGGCAGTGTCCCGCACTAACATTGCCCCTCATGTGACTGTCAACCTTCTGCAAAAATTCATTGATCCAGTAGTTGAGATCTGAACACCTCTTCGCCCTCATAGGTTTGGTGAACTCTGTCAGAAACAGTGGGCAGACTTTTCCCCCTAACTGAAGGCTCTGTATCTCAGCTGCAAAGATAGTGCCACTGTCCCGGCCAAAGATAGACCGGTGCGAGGCTCCTCTAAATGCAGACATTCCTTTTGTCCTGGTGACAGCGCCGTCAGGAAGATTGACACCTCCAATCTTCCTCCCCTGCACGTGGGCGGGCCACTTAGAGTCTGAACACTATTAAGCACTGACAACCTTTTCACTGTGTAGAGCAGGAGAGATGGAAGTGGGTGGAAGGGGAGAGAGAGAGTCAGAGAGAGAGAAAGAGAAAACAAATTGCCAGCATTGCCCTCTGTGCCCGAGCACAGGAAGGCAGAGTGAAGTCACCTCGACCCTGCATTAATGAGCTGGAGGTGGGGGGTTTCCGAGCTCCCCCACGCTGCCCAAACCTCGCTGTGTCCGGCGGCACCACGGGGCCGTCTCATTAGGGAGCCCATGGATGGCCGCAGAGCCGTGTGCGATGTCAGGCCAGCAGCAAGTGCGTCTTGATCAGCGTGCTTGTCAACGCTGCCTTCAGGCTATGAGACAAACTGGAGGAAATGCTTGTTACATGGCCAAACGATGGCCCAGTTTGGGTTTCCTAATTTGTTTTGGCTCCCTGGAGCGAGAGAATATCTGGTGAGTGTGAGACCAGTGTCTCACCCACTCAGTGTTTGCTGGCAGCTGGGCTCCCAGGGCCTCCAGACCTTCCTGGCGGTCCGAACTCATCACTCCGCCATCTGGGGCAGGTGTGGGCGGATTTCCGGGAGAGGCAGCAGGCTGGCTTTCGCTCTGGGACCCTGGCCTGGGTGGAGCTGGAGAAGGGGCTCCGCTTCAACAAACACTCACTGTTGGGGAGGCGAGGGACGCCATGCGGGTTGCAGCTCCAGGGTGTGTGTCATCTGGCTGCAGGAAGCGGCCCCGATGTCCCCCAGCTGAACATAATCACTTCCTTCCAATCTCCACGTCCCTGAACTTCTTCTCTAATAATACGCTTCCAATTATGGTTCCTCACGCCTGTGACACAGCTTGCATTTCAGTCTGCAAGCTGTGTGAAAACAGGCCCTCGTTTGCGTCATTCTTGCCCCATAGAGTGTAGTCCAGAGCTTACCACACAGCAGCAGTAGTGCTGGCAATGCTGACGGTGGTGATGATGGTGGTGATGGTGATGATGGTGGTGATGGTGGTGATGACAGTGGTGGAGAGGAAGATGGTGATGTTGGTGGTGATGATGGTGGTGGTGGTGGTGGTGGTGATGGTGGTGATGAACACCACCTCTGAGCTGTGTGCCATACCAGGCACTTTTAGCTATACTCACCCCAATCCTCACAACTGCTTTAAAAGAAAAAAAACACAAATTATTTTCCAGGTTTCACAGGTGGTCATAGTGGAGCTCAAAGAGGTGAGACAGCTTGCCCCCAGGTGTGCAGGTTTCACGGAGCTGTGCTGACAGGCCTGTCCCCACACAAGCCTCCTGTGCCCTTGCTGACGGACACTCCCTAACCCGCTGACCCCTGGGGCCAGGGGGTGAGTGGGTTCTCTCCTCGCACGGACTCACCACGGGGTGCAGAGTGTACCTGGGCAATTCCACTTCTCTGTGGACCCCGGAGGCTCTGGTAGCTGTTCTCAGAGGCTCTCACACGCATGGGTGGACGGCGGCACAGTGCCCAGACTCGGTTTCTCTGACAGACGGTCAGAAGCAGTAACGTGCCAGAAGTGGCCATACCACGTGCTGGCAACTGGCCAATTGCCATGCTTTTGGGTTGCTAATTTCCATATTTGGACAACTACAGTCTTAAAAATTATTCACCATTGCCTTAGAAACCTGACATCATAGGTTCGTTGAATTGAGGCTTTAAACCATTTTTAAAATAGAAGGTTTGAGAATGAGTCACAGAATTTTAAACTCAGAGCTGAATGTGGAATAAAAGTATGCACAGTTGGACGGCTTGTCCTCAATGGGGCCACGGACTTCCTGCTGCTTCAGAGACAATTATGAGCAGGTGAAGTAAAAAACAGCAACAGCAGCAGCGGCCATCAGCACTTCTGAGATTATCGCCCCCACTTTACAGACGGCTTAGACGTTCAACAGGTCCCCAAAGCAAAGGTCATGATGACGCACACAGTGTTGGCAGTGGGATTCAAGCCCAGGCAGCCCTGCCCTCAACGCGCTCTGTGTGCCGGTCTTCGAGCTCGAGCCATGCGGGAGGAAGCAGCAAGGAGGACGCTTTGCTCACCGCTCATCTTCCCGCTCCCAGGCCTCTTGCTCCTGGGGGGGGCATCCTCTCCCCAAGGAGGCCGTAAGCTCCCCAAGGACACCACTGGGCCGGCCGGGGTTTGCAGAGCACCTGCCCTGACTGGCGAGAGCTGGGTGTTCTGTGGCCCCACAGCCTCCGTTGTTTGCACTACCCACCGAAACGCTCTTTTCCCTCTTCACCCTAACATGGTTCGGAGCACAGACACCCCAAGTAGACTATCTGTCCCTGGCTGCTGTGCAGATCGCATCCTGCTGTGCTTTGTCGTGTGCTGCATCTGGCCTGGCCCGCCCTCGATCGGGAGCTCTCCAGTCAGCTCCAAGTCGAAGGGGCGGGTTGGCTGCACTTCTAGCGAAGCAAGGAGAGGTGCCTGTGGGCGAGTTAACAAGGGGTTTGGGCGTGGATCCCATCCCCCAGCACGGTGGCCTGGGCGGGTGTTCAGAGACAGCCGTTCTGAAGAGGCATTCAGGCTAAGCGGAAGACTGACGCTCACACTCAATTTGTGGGAATCACTGGAGTGGAAGTTTGTTGAGGAGCATTTTATCTCTCTCTCCTGTGGCTCTTTTCTAAAGGAAAAGCATTCATTTCAGTGAGTACTTAGACAAAATTAAACAATTTGGATGGCAGCTGAAATCTCGTCATTTTAGAAATAAAACAATCTGAATGTCCAGCCTTCTCCTTTGGCAGAAGAAAATGGAGTCTCAAAAGGTGAAGCGATTTGCCCACATTCCAGCGTGAGGATGGAAACTGGAACCCACCCCGGCCCCAGCTGCCTCATTTCCGGCTTGCGACACCAAAAGCTGTGCCGGGAGCTGGACCCGAGGCAGACCCGGAAGTCGGAACCACTCGCCTCAGACCCAGTGAGAGCTGCACCTCTCCACTAGACCCCCAAGCACGGCCCCATTGATCGGTGTGGAAGCGCAGGAGTCACCTTCCCGAGAGTCTCAGAGCTGGCAGTCACTGTTTGTACCTGCAGGGTCGTCAGTGCTGTCGCCAGAGGTAGAAGAACGTGACTCCTGACGTTTTTCTAGCTGTCCCAGAGCTAAGAACACCCAGCCTGGCTTTGCCTACTGGCAAAACACAGTGTGATGAGATCAGTCCTCCTGGGGACCTTTGTGAAGTGAGTGAGGCGAAGGTGTGGGTGGAGGCTCCACGGAAGGGGCCACGTGGGTCAGGTCGTGGGTTCGCTGCCGTGTGCCATCGTTACCCCAGAGACCCTGGCGATTTCCCTGGGGCAGAAGCCTGCTGCTAAGGGAAGAGATTATGGAAGTGATTTAAGTAATCAGTCAAACCACCTTCTGCCCGCGAGGGGGGTTACGATAAAAAGGACGACTGAGTGGCCAGTGCAGCCGAGGAGGTGGAGAAGGCGGGGCCCACACACTCCGCTGGAGCAGCCACGCTGCCGACCAGTGGGCAGGTCCCTGCCGACTTACACGCAGGGTCACCACACTGCCCAGCAGTGCACACCCCCAGGTGTGTGCCGCCAAGAATGGAAAACACCTGCCCACGTGAAAGTGTGTCCACGAATGTCCACAGCACTGCTGCTCATTTTGGCCCCAAAGTGGACACAGCCCAAATGTCCAACAGCTGACGAATAAATAGGCAAAATGCACTATGTCCTTCACCCGGGTTATTTTTCTGCTACGAAGAGGAATGCAGCCCCGACACGTGGCATGACACACCTGGAGAACCGTGCTGTGCGAGAGAAGCTGACACCCAGGGCCACCTCTCGCAGGATGCCGTTTCCGTGAAGCGCCCCGCAAACCCCAGGGGCAGAGAGTAAACGGGCTGCTGCCAGGACTGCGGGCCGGTGGGGAGGAACAGGGAGCGGGCGCAGGGTTTCTGTCCGGGGTGATCACAATGTTCTGGAATCAGCATAATGGTGGGATGGTGCGTGGTGTGTGCACCTCTGTGGCTGCCCTGGTAAAACAACCAAGTCGGGTGAGTTTCATGGTGTGTGAACTGATCTCAGTGAAGCTGCTGTTTAAAACCAGTGCACCACTGCCTGTAGCCTAGGCATCCGGTCTGTGGTTGTGCCCATTCTGGGTGTGCATTTCAGGCCTTGAAAATCCAGACCGCATGTCATTCTAGCCTGTGGCTGGTGACAGAGACTCACCCGCTGCTGTTTTGTCCCCCGCCCCTGCAGGGCGAGGACCCCCTGGCTGACAGTGCGCTGACCTTCATGGACCAAACGTCTGCTCTGACCTATGCCCCTGCCTTCCGGGAGGGGCACCCCATGGGCCACCCACTGCAGACCCTCAGCAGGCCCCAGCCTGACGACCTCAGCCCTAAGGGGGACAGAAGAGTGGACAAGCGGAATGTCCTTGGGCAGCTGATGTTCTACTTGGCTTACAGACCCCCCTCACCCACCAAGAAGGGCCCCCTCACGCCATACGACCTAATGCGCATGCCTTGGAGAGAACCCCAGAAACGGCTTTCGCCCCCAGAAGACCCCAATGATGCCCCAGGCCCAGATGATGGTAAGCCAACCTCCCCACCCGCTCTGGTGTTTTTGTTGTTGACTCTGTCCGTTTTTCTAGCACCTTCCCAGCACGGGTCCCCCACTGCATCTGGGAACAGGGAGTGTGCAAGAAGGGATACCTTCAAGCTACGTGCTTCCCTGTGCAGTGGGGGAGGGAAGGCAGTCATGTCCACGCCAGGCACCAGGCAAGTTCACCTGCTGGTACTGCGGGGAGGGGTGGATTGCCCCCTGGTGGACGGTGGTCACAGGTCAGTCACATGGTGTTCTGGAAGGTGGGTGATGAATGCTTTAGGTTCTCCACCGGCATCGACTTTGTCACACACCCCGTCACAGCTGTGCACACACTCACCCAGTCCCACATTTGTGCCGATCTGCTTTGTCCCCAAAAGCACGCGGTGTGTGACAGATGCCTCCCAGCACATACTACATGGACCGCGTGGCCTTGCAGGTGGCTGACACAGCGCTCCGGGGCTCCCAGTCCTGCTAGTGAGCTGGGCCCCGCCAGGCTTGTCTGCGGGAAAAGGGTGTTTCCTGGCCCCACTCCTCTCTAGGACACCGAAGGCTCTGAGCTTTTCACTTTCTGACGGCTTTTTCTAAGACCATTCGATTCCAAGTGAGGTTCTGATGAACTATGCCTTCTCCTTTGAAGATTCCGAAACCATAAAGCTGAGCAAGTGACAGGCTGTGGAAAACACGCCGACCGAGAACCGCATTCACGTCAGCAGTGTGCTGTGTGTGTCCGCCGCACAGCGCTGCTTTCCGGCGGGGCGGCCCTCGCCCTCGCTCTGCCCAGGCAGCCGCAGCGGCACTCCTAAGGGAGGGAAATGCAGAGCTGTGATCAGGGGGACTGTGTGAGGCCACTCCCGCAGCCCTCTCTGTCTGGGAGAAGACAGGGGCCCGAGAAAGCGGCTCAGGCCCCTCACTAGGGGCCGCCTGCACAGAAGCACGCCATGGGTGGGACTGGCATTACCGGGGGTCGCTCTCGAGGGGAGAGTTTTCCCTCTGGGGTTGGTGGAATGAAAACGGACCAGAGAAGACCAGCTTCTCCAAACTGCAGTCCAGGGTCTTCCAGAGACTCCTTCTCTCAGTCGGTTCCCTACGGCAGGCACCTGATGGCCAGTGACAGCAGACGCCAGGCCCTTTCCCACCATCCCCTGCGAAGCGCTCGCACCATTCGGTTCGGCCACCCCAGGCCCTGGCGAGGAGCGCAGGCAGAGCCGCCGCCACAGCACGACTCCCCACGAAGGCGCAGGGCACAGCAGCGCACTTCACAAAGCACGGCGAGGGAGGTGGGGTGCGGGGGCCGTGAGTTGTGGCTTCTCAGAATGGCGAGGCCCTGGAGAGTGGGCATCCCAGATGCCCAAAGGGCTGCCCACCAGAGCACGGCGAGAGCAGCCTATGGGAACTGCCAGGCGCCTCACATGACCTGTGACCTGGAGCTCAGGCTACAAGTGGAACTCCAGGGAAACCCGCCCGTGCCTGCTGCCACGTGAGTGATCATTGAGTCAGGCATGGCTTCCTGCATGAAGTAAATGTTCGCCTGGTACAAACTGCTCGTGGAAAGATACCGTCTTCCTTCACTTCGTCATTGTTCACACCTTGTCCCCTTTCTAAGCTCTGAAGGCCCACATGAAGTAGGACAGTGGCAAGAACAGAGGTCACAGCACGGGACGGCAGGGCCGGACTCAGACGCGGTGGCCCAGGTCACCGCCGCAGTGGCACGCTCCCTGCTGGAAGGTTATCCTGTCCTTTGGTGATTTGTTCACCATGGAAACCGGAATTTATAAACATTCATCTGTGGTTCTTTTTACCAGTTATCAGCGTTGTAAGTGGTTACCATGAAAACCTGAATAATTCATATAAAGAGAGAAAAACACACAATCACCCAAGATAAGTGCCATCAGCGTCGGGAGTATGTCTCTGCCCCTTGAGTCGCGTGTGGTTGTGCCTCTCGCTGCACACGGCCACTGTGAGTGCGGGGGCGGGGGGCCATCAGCTGCGTCACCCTCACCTCCCCCGCCACTTCAGTGTGTTCGCTGGGCCGGGCGCTGCTCCAAGTCGGGATCAACACGCAGCCGGGCCCAGGAGCTTGGCCACTCTCGGGCAACGGAGAGTGCCATGTCCACTGTCTGTATTTGTGTTTTAAAGGTCATGGCAAAACACACTTTAGTTTGGACCTAATTATAAGCTGAGCAGCTGCAGACCTGCGTTACCCAGGTGTGGGTGGAACTGCTGTCTGGAACTTTGCTCCCAGCGACGAGTTCCCACCGCTCCCTCTTCGGGGCCCTGTCTGCTGCTGTGCTGGCGGCTGCGGGCAGACTTCAGTGGCACCCTTGGGAGCCATCGCTGGACAGTGCCTAGTCCAGTCTGGCGTGTGCCACCAGCCCAGGGCCAGGCTGCGCCCCCGTCACCGTCCGTTTACATTCTCAGCGTGCAGACTCACGTTAACGTGACTCTCACGGAAACAGCCTTTAGAAAGCGATTTGGGCGCCAGCCCTGCCACCTGCTGAGTCACGTGATTAACACCAAAGCTAAGTGGACCCTTCTGTTCTTTGCCTCGATGTTACATGGGACAGAGGCAGAGTTGGACTGGGGCACCGTTCTGCAAGTACAAGGCAGACGGCCCACCCAAGCAGGACTCCTGTCACCCAGGTGGCAGCCCGGCACCTCTCACGTAGCTAGCAAGCGGCGCACGCCACTCAGCTGTCGAGCCCTCAGCCTCTCAGGCTGGAGGGGGAACACACTTCACTGTACTGGTGGTGTTTCCAGTGGAAACGGGACGCTGACATCTGGTTACGCCTACGTCTCCTCGGTGGAGGTCCAGATGAGGACAGAATGAAATAATAAGCTCCCTCTGAACGTATCTGAAGCGTTTGCAAACACCTGAGAGTTGGCCTCCAGAAATTAAGTGAACTCTGTGCTCTCCGAGCAAAAGGAGCGCAGTGAATTCCTTGTGATGGCAATAATGGTGGTGGTGATGGTGGCGTGTGTCTGGAAGTGGCTAAACTGTACCCTCACGTGTACCTGGCGATAAAGGCACTCAGCAGCAGAAGCTGTTGTGCGCGACCCACGCCTGCTGTGTGAGAGCAGCGCTGTAGCGCAGTGCTCTGCACACCGCTGCTTGGTCTCTAAAGCTTGTAGTGTTGGTCTGGGGACCCTTTCAAAAAACATAATTTTGTAGGTCAGGCCTGTCACGGTTGTGCTGTGAGCTGATCTCCACCCCCTGGACTTACGTATTTGATGTCCCGATATTTCAAGTAATTGCTCCGGTAGAGACACTTGGAGCGTCAAAAGCAACATGAAACATCGCCGGAAGCTGCCGGGTCTCGGAATTCTGGGGGGCCGGGGATGGAACAAAGGGCCGTTGCACTTTGATGCGTGTGGCATCTGGCTGTGCTCTGAGCTCGGTCCCTCTGCTGCCCACCGGGGTGAGCTGGACTTTGTCAAAGGATTTCCTCGTTCCTCTCCGCCTTCAGACGGCCGGCAGGGGTGCTTTGTGGTGCTCAGTGAGGCTCCCTGGGGTGAGTGGGAGGGGGTTCCCAACACATGCAAAGGTTCTCCTGGGAAGCCAGGCAGCCACCGAGAGTCTACCACTGGCGGCCTAAGGTATTTGAAAGTTATTTTTCACTAGTGATAACCTGAAAACATTCCTTTTTGGATAAGAGGAGGCAGTGTTAGGAATTGTATTTTATTATTCCATTTCGAAGGTGGATATTTCTTTTTTTTTTAAACCTAAGTTTTTTTTAAGATTTTATTTATTTATTTTTAGAGAGGGAAGGGAGGGAGAGAGACAGAGAAACATCAATGTGCAGTTGCTGGGGGTCATGGCCTGCAACCCAGGCATGTGCCCTGACTGGGAATCGAACCTGCGACACGTTGGTTCGCAGCCCACGCTCAATCCACTGAGCTACGCCAGCCAGGGGATATTTTTTATTACAGTTATTCTAAGAGGCCCACGGAAAAATGAGTCTTGTCATGTGACAACCTCCTTCCGTTCTTCCGTCCGAACTAAAGGAAGCTAAGAGGAAATAGGAGTTTGGTGACTGTAAGACATAGTGTTTCCAAGTTATTAAATGAATGCCAATTATTGTATTGGGAGAGGGGCACGATTTCTCACTAACGGTATTGATTGTTAGGTAGGTGGTGACAATCTGGGTACTTTCCGTCATTTCATTTTGTCAGCAGCCCCTTCACGTGGGGATCTTTGGCTCCCTTTCACAGACAGGACTAAGTGACGGACACAGTGGCCAGTGGTGGCTAACTCCAGAACACGGCACTTTTCTGCAGGGTGTTACCTTGTTTCTCCAGGGGACGGTGACCCTTCTTTGTTGTGGGTCTTTTGGGATTTGTGGTCCGACTTGCCTCGAGTCGCAGCCTCAGTGACCCCCACAGGTGGCCCGCCCCCTGCTCAGTGCCAGCCCCACAGCTGTCGCTCTGCTTGAGGCAGCTGCCCCTTGTGCAGGGACCCACAGGGCCCCCCACTCTGCAAGCCCCCCGTACGGTGCTCCATTCCTCAGTGCTAGTCACCTTACCAGCCCCCAACCCTGACCCCTGACCCCTCAGCTCTAGGGACCGTCCTGCTGCTGCTGCTCCTGCCCTGGTCCAGGAACTGCCCCTGCAGTGAAGCTCATGAGTGTGGGCACCCACACGCCTCCCGTGCCCAGTGCTCACGGCAGCGCTGCCTGCGTCTCGGTGCCTAGAAACTGTTTCCACGCGTGTTCTGTCCATCTCACAGCTGTGTGTCATGGGGGGCGAGCCTGTCACTTCAACGGCACCGTGTCCCTCAGTCCACACTCCAGCTGCAGCCAAAGGGCAGGAGCAGTCCCGCGGGAAGAGGGGCGCGTGGGTGCCCTTCTCTGATCATCCCCGTTTCTCCCGCCTCCGCGAGGAGCCCCCAGGACTCACCGCACTTGTCCTCTCCCTCCGGCACAGTGCGTGGATTTGTTGTTCTCCGTGTGCTTGTTTCACAACGAAGACGTGTTGCTTTTATACGCAGAGTAATCCCTCAAAACACTGCCAATCATTTAGGGAAAATGCCTAAGATGTGCCCACACCCCGAAGGAAATTGTTTCTGTTGTATTTTCATGATTATAAAAGCAATGCCCTTCATGGTCAAGTGCCTCAATGAGCAAACCACACAGGAGAACACTGACGTGGAGTCCAAGGTCACGTGGGCACGTGGCCGAGACCGCCCACCCCATGGCCCACACCGTCCTCTTCACCAGGGCCCCCGTCTTTGTCCACCCCGCAGGGAAGGGCGGAGGGGTGGGAGGTCCGTGACACGGTGGGGAGACGGGTCCCCAGGACAAGGTGACAAGGATGACGACTTGCCCACCACCTGCAAACGCAGCTTACGTTTAGGTGTCTTGTTGGAAAATGGCCCTTCTCGCCCTCGACTGGTGCTGTCTTCCTCATCTGCGCTGTCCAGGTGACAGCTGGACCTGCCTCGCAAAGGCAAAGGTGGAGCCCGAGGGAGGGAGACCACCACCTGCACTGGGCCCACACCACCCCCACCCCCGCCCTCCTGGCCCCGAGTCCCTTCAGGCCCCAAACAGTGATTTCTCTTTATCTCCTGCTTCCAGCAGAGGGCCGGGAGGGGGCTTGGCCGCTGAACCTGTCTGCACGGGTTTGGGGGGAGATGCCCTCTGAGTTTCACGCTGATGTATGAACCAACCTCAGACACAACACGTGTGTAAACTGGGGCTGCGTGTTGTACAGATGGCCCAGCGGCCACAGTGGCGCAGAGTTCACGCAGGCTGTCCCTGCCAGCGCAGGCCAGGGGGCGCTGTGGGAAGCGGGTGATGGCCGGTGTTCGTGGTGTTGCAGGCTGGTGCGCCAGCTGCCGGGCCCACACTTGGGGGCGTTAGCTTTCCCACAAGGGGGAGGGAAACAGCTCACTTCCACTTCTTTGTGGCTTGAGGGCCGACGAGGTGGCCCCATCTCTGTCCTTGGCCACCTAAGCCCAGCTACTTCACCAGAGGCCCCTTCCGCCCTCCCAGTCGGGCCCCTGCATCGGCTCGTGGCCCCTCCCCGGCTCCCTCGTCCATCCTCACGGTTTAAAGACGCTGAGCGTGGCCGTGACCTGGGGTCAGGTGGGGTTCAGATTCGACGCGCACGACTCGGGCCTGCCCCCGCTGGGAGGGCGGCCTCACCGTCTGCTCCGGGTCGATGGGTGCATGTGCGTCTGCCCTCCAGGAGCCCTTCTTCAGAGCCTGCTGGAGGAGCTGAGGCAGCACCAGGTCGATGTGGAGGCACTGAGCCCCCGGGACCTCGACGAGGCGGCCCGCGTGCTGGCCGAGGCCGCGCGCGACCCCTGGAGAGGAGCCGGAGCACCGCCCACGGAGCCCGCGTACGGGCCGGAAGCAGCGCTCTTCGGAGTTGGTGACTCGGGCAGGGAGGGCCTGCGAGGTGAGCCGCCGGGTCCTGGTGGAGGGGGAGGGCCAGGCCGCGGGGTGGGAGACCGGCTTCCCGGGCCATGGGCTGTGGTGCGTTCGTGCCGCGGGGACTTGGGATGAGCCCGGTGGCCTCTGTCTGGGTGGCGCTGCCCCTGAAAGCTCCCCTCTCGGGCCCAGCCCGCAGAGCTGGCTGGGATGCCTTAGAGCCGGGACGCTGAAGGCCCACTGCCCGCTGCGAGGAGTCGGATGTCCCCTGGGTGGAGTGCAGACTGAGAGGACGTCGGGGCTGGTCCACAGGGCTCTTGCTCGCACTGTGCATGTGCTGAACGCAGTCAAAGATGCGGCTTAAAAAGTGACAGGGGCTCATTGGAATGTCTGCCCGAGGCTCCCAGCCACCCTGTGGGGCTGCCCCAGGGGACAGCAGAGGTCCCCGACTCCCCAGACACACACGCATGTGCACACGTGCACGTGTGTACACCTACCCCCCCCACACACACACACACACACAGGCGTGGGCTCCCCGGGCGACGGCCGTCTCTGTGCCTGACGGCTTCTCCGAGGCGCCGAGGGACACTGAAGGGTGCGGCTCGGTGCTTGCGCACAGGAGGCACAGAGACATGTGCCAGAGCACGGGTGGAGGGGGCGCGTCCCTCCACGGGTTGGGGCGGGGTTGGCCTGGCAGCGGATGCCTGCCTCAGCTGACAGTTAGGAGGCAGGACGAGGGACCGGAGCTCCATCAGGACAAGGTGTCCGCGAGGCAACCGGAGGTCAAAAGGCAGGACCCCCATTCTCAGGCTGGGAGGGTCGAAGGTCCCGGGTGTGGTTGCTGCGGCTTCAGGACGGCGCGGTGAGCTGTGTGCTGCGTGCCATGGGGCATTGCAGGCTGGGTATTGGCTTAGGGATGTGACCGGCACAGAAAGAAAACAACCCATCGGTGCCTGCCGACCCCTTACCTGAGCAGCTGTGTGTCCACCGCCTCCCCTTACTCTTTCTTAGCCATGGACTGTCCCGCACGGGGGGCTGTCCTGTGGGAGCCAACAGTCGGGGACGTGCAGGTCTGCGGACCGCTGACGGGCGTCACGGTCACCCTTCAGCCCGCGGCCCCGCCTCCCCGGTGGCTGCTACAGAGCACAGTTCTCTGCCTGTGGAGACGGGGACGGCGACGCTAGGGAGAGAAGGCCCCTCGTAGTGACACCCTGGCGAGGACGTTGGTAACACTCGCTCGTCGTGTCTTTCGCAGGTAACGGGGAGCAGGGCAGCGAAGCTGGAGCTCGCGGAGAGGTAAGAGGCCGCGTCTGCGCGTGTGTGCACGGTGAACCCAGGGCTGTCCGGTCGCCTCCTGGTTTGCGGCTCGGGGAGGTTTCTGAGATGCAGCGTTGTTGGGTTTTTTTCTAGGAAAGGATGGAAAAGCCCGAATAATCCCCAAACTGAGAAAAGTTTAAACAGCACCTGCAAAACTGTGTCTGTTTAGATACAGACCAACATCTGTTTTCAGATCTTATAGGAACACTTATCCATTGTAGAAATACGAAAAATGGTTAATGCAAAGAAAAAATCACTATCCCTTGCAACCTCCCCACCCAGGGGTCCGGAAGATGGGACACCATGGAGTCCCCCTGGAGACTCTCTCGTGTGCTGACCTCCGGGGTCCACTTGACAGTCGACGGGCTCTCGATGGCTGCACGTGCTCAGCGGCTCGGCAGCCACGACCCACGTGTGGGCGTCATTGCAGTTAGCTAAACTGAACACTCGGCGTCTCAGCCGGGCTCGCCCCGCCCACATGGCCCACGCCCACCAGGAACGGTGGGGTGTTCCGTCTGAGCGCAGAGGGGCGCCTCAGAGCCCTCTTCCTGTTTATGAAGAGGAGGGTGGGGAGGAGCAGCGGCCGAGCGTGGGCCCAGGCTGGGGGTCTCGGGTCATGTAGGCCCACGGGGGCCCCGAACCCCGCCTCTGCGAGGCCCCAGGACCCTTCCACTGTGGCAGCTTTGTCCCAGCAGAGCCGGGTGTTGACCCGTTTCTCTGCCACGCGGGGCGCACACTCCACAGCTGGTTCCACAAGGGCCCTCGGGGGCTGTGTTATCTGAGCTCTTGTTTACTTAATAAGTGTCCTCCTCACACAAAACACCGTGGGAGTGAGGACACCCCTCCCCTCCCTTCAAAAGCCTGAGAAGGTCGTTCCACCCCTATTTGGTAACTGAACTGCCACTCAGAATGTGAGCAAATGTTTTCCTCAAACTATTTTCTGTAAATATTCTAAACCAAAAGGAAAAGTCAGGAAAGACTTTTAGTGAAAAATGGAGTAATTAGTTTCCTTTATAGCCTTTCCTTAACTTCCTAGGTAAGTGTGCTTTGGTGAAGTAAGTGTAAAGTGAGTCCAGTTTTCCCGTTTCTATCTGACACAAGGTCGGAGATGTCACTTCATGGCGAGGCAGGAAACGCCGTCTTAGAAGGCGTCCAGGGCTGCCGCTCCCGGCCCCTGTCACCTCGTGCGCACGTGCACACGACAAGCCTCTGTCAGCCCCCCAGGCTGCGGCTAGAGACAAGCCCAGCCCCCCGCTCACGGCCGGTGACACTGAAAGGAGGGACTTTTGTACCGGGCGTGACACAGAGCCTGCGCTGCGCGTTGTAGGAGGACGCCCCGCAGTCGGGACGCCCTGGCCCAGGAGGCGGGGTCAGGGTGCGGCGAGGGTCCCCAGGGTGCAGCTCCAGGTCCCTGGTCCTGGCTCAGGGCTGTCGTGAGGGCTCCGAGAGAGCAGATTGCCACCCTTGTCCCTGTCGGCGTCGCTGTGTCGCTGGCTGTGTCTGGAGGGCAGGAGTGGGACCTGGAACCCGTGGTCATTCCTGACCTACAGATGCCGGAGGCCTGCACTGACGGACGAGCTGAGACCCTTCAGGAAGGGCTGTGAGCGCGTGTGCGTGCGCACTGAGGGGCGTGGGGAACACATTATGAAATGATTCTGATGCACATCCTCCCCTGGCCGAAAATTCCTCGCCTAGACGTCATTTAAACACAGGCTTTAAAATTCTGGCCTCCGTCCACCTTTCCTTGCAGGGTGCCTGTTGTCGCCCCACACGGCGAGCTTGTCACACACGGCCTCTGTCCTGTAGGTGGACGGTCTCTCTCCTGGGAGCCAGCTCACGTGATTTCCTCCCCACCAGGTCAACCCTGTGAGCCTCAGACTCGGGCACGCCCTGCAGGACCCCGGGTCCCAACTCCCGCCCGGAGCCCCGCTTCCCGTGGGGAGCAAGAAGTCCGAGGACCCTGAGGCCTCCTTGTCTTCGGAGGAGGATGCCGCCGGCATGGAGAACGTCAAGAGCCAGACCTACTCCAAAGAGCTGTGGGAGCGGCCGCCGCACTGGGAGCCCAGGGTCGTCGGGGTTGGGGAGTCCCCGCACTGGGCCCCAGAGCCCCTGCGGGAGGACCCGCGCCTCAGGGCAGGAGCTCGCGGACGCACGGGCGACGGCCTGCGACTGGAGGTCAAGTCTCCGGGGGAGGACTACGGCTACATCGTGACGGAGAGCGAGTGAGTAGGAGCTCTGGCCTTCTCCCCTGGGCCCAGGGTCCCGGGCCCCCCGGAGTCGGGAAATGCGCTTGTCTCCACGCGTCTCCCCTGGAGAGACAAGTGGGGGGTGGTGCCTGGTGTCGGGACAAGTGGGGGGGGTGCCTGGTGTCTCAGCCCGGAGCCAGCCGTCTGACCGTCCCCAGGGCTCCTGGCCTGGGGGCCGAGCTCGGGGGCAACTCTCCACAACACAGAGCCCTTCCCGCTCCTGGGTCTCGGCCGCCCAGACCACGGTGTGCGCTGAAGCTGCACTGACTTGGTGGGGCTGGCGGGGGGCAGGGAGAAGCCAGACCCGAGTGGTGGGTGGCGCCCAGGGCGTGGTGGGCCGGGTCTGCCTCGCGTGCGGGCTCCAGGCCTGTGAAAACACCAAACCCGTTGTCGCTTTCACACAAAGTCGCCCACGTGGCAGGACACACGTCATGCTTCAGGGGAAATGGCCCCGGAGAGAGAGAGCCTTCTGTCCTCATCGCGTTCTGACCTCAGTCCCATGAGGCCCCAAAGTCAAACGCCACGTCCCAGCCAGCGGCAGGGCCAGCCCACTCCTCCGGGCGTCACTCCGGAGTCGGACACTCGCCACTGAGCCTTGTGGAAGCATCACTTCCTTCAAGCAGGGAGAGGGGTGCTTCTCAGGAAGACACACCTGTGTGGCTGCATACACACCAGTGTGTACGCGGTGTGTACCGCGCATGTGTGCACTGTGTGCATGTGTATGATGTGTGAGTGTGTGGTAGTGTGTATGCATTGTGCTCGAGTGTGTGTAATTGTGTGTGTCTGAGTGTGTGTAGCGTGTGGTTGTATGTGCACAAGTGAGTGTGTATGGGATTGTGTGCAGCTGCCTTTGCTCCCACTGGGCCATCCATGCCCCCTGTCCTGACACCCACGGGCTCATCCGGGCCATGAGGTACCGCTGCAGGGCGACGTGGGCGCTGCCCCTCATTCGGGGTCTTGGGGTCCTGGGCTCCCCGCGGCACGGAAGAGCGAGAGCACCCCCTGTCCGCACCGCTGAGGGCGGTGCAGTTTCCCAGGAACCTCTGGGGCCGGGCAGTCCGCCCCACCGGTGCCGGCCCCGAGCCAGTGCGGAGAAGTCACGGCCCGGCGAGCGGCCAGCACTTCCGCCGGAGAGACCCTGTCGGCGGCTGGCATTCCTCCTGCTCCGGCCAACGCCCCCCGGAACGGGCAGTGGCACGAGGGAGGGCCCGCTTTTCCTGGCGTTCGTCTGCTTTTCTGTGCAGCTTCCCGGGCGTTACCTTTGGGACGTGAACACACACAGGTGCATGGAAAACACCACTGTCTGGCTGTGGCTTGCTTCACGCTTTCTTTGCGGCTTCAGTAGATGCATCTACACGACGAGGGTGACGCCGCTCTGCGCCCGTAATGCCCCGTTTGTCACCGGGCCTGACACACACGAGGGTGGCACCCCCCCGCCTCCCGGAGACAGAGGTGGAGTCTCTGACTCTGGTGTCAGATTAATTGGTAATTTGGGGCTCTCTGGGGCAAGATTTCACCAGATCTCAGCTTAAGTCTTCATAGATCATCTATTAATTGACAAGAATCTCATTCCATTCTTTAAAAAGAAGGCTTTCGTACGTGCAGTTGTCCCACAAAAGCAGAAGGAACGCGACCTCCGCTCCGCGTTATCTCATCGCTGGCCCGTGGCTCAGCTCCGCGGCTCCGGCGGGAGGGAGGTCCCGGCTCAGCCCCGCCGGCTCCCCTCGCTCACGCTCTCTGACGGACAGGGCGCACTTTAATCTCCGCCGCCGCCGGCATTTCATCTCTTTACCACGACCCAGACGGATTATTCAGGACTGGGTGAAGGGCAGGACAGCCACCCCGTCCTCCCAGGACGGTTTAAAAAGCATCTCGAGTGGCGTCGTCAGGAAGAGGCCGCAGCTGGGACGTGGCTTCGAAGCCCAGGCGCCGTCTGCCTCCCAGCGAAGAAGCAACTCCTCTGCGTCCGGCAGCAAGTGCTTTCGGGCACGGGCCGCCCCGTCCCTCGGCTGCTTCTCTTCGCCAAAGAGCTCCTGTGTTTGGAGTTTGTCCCCACGGCAGGACCGTCTCTGGCCCATGAACCGTCGTCGTGAACCACCTGCAGGCGGAGGGGCAGCGTCCGGAGTCGTCGGTCTGGTGTTGGGGGAGGCCCCTAGGGACCGCGCTGGCCCAGCGGCTCTGGTGGCTGTGGACGGGCCAGTTAGGCGCCCAGCCGTCCCCCACGGGGGCGTGTGGAGCTCCCGCCGTCGCGACAAAGTGCTGGTCTCCGTCTGGTCTGCACAGCCTTCCGGGGAGAAGACGCCGCCGTCAGGGGCAGCCCCACAGCACCTTGCCGCACCCCGGGGCCCGTCTCCGGCAGTGAGGCCAGTGGCCCCGCAGGGGCCGGGACGCAGTGGGTGCCGAGTGAGTGGGTGAGTGGCGTCAACCTGAGAACACAGCCCCCGAGAGAGAGAGGCCAGTGAGCTTCAGCCGGGAGGAGATGGGGGCGCACAGAGAGCTGGGCATGAGGGCAGACGAGGAGGGTGCCCCCGGGAGGGAGGGAGAGAGGGGACAGGCCCAGGCTCTGAGCCCCCTCAGGTGCCTGTCGGCCTCTGGACACAGACAGGGCTGGCTGTCAACTCCCCTCCCGCGGCTTCTCTCACCGCGAAACTCCCTTGCACTTGGGGTCGGCCGCCCGGAGAAGTCGCAGGCACTTCGCTCTCTCATTCGCGCGGTGAGTGAGTCAGGACCTGCCCCACCCGGGTGCGGGAAGGCACCCACTCCCCGCAGCACCACCCTGTACGGGGGCCGGTTGGACTGTCTGACCGGAGAGACGTCGGCGTGGCCCCACCTTCGCCTGCTGGGGAATTACTGGGTCTGGGGTCAGCTGTCTGGGAGAAAGCTTGGAAGTCACTTCTCCACGTGCCAGGCGCCCGGGATTCGCGCTCCAGGACCACGTGTGCTCACCTGAGGGCGAGGGGCTGTTCTCCCTCCTCTCACACTCCTCCTCCCACCTCGTCTGCAGGGCGGAGGGCCGGGTTGTTCGGAGCCTTTGGGGGAAGTCACTGCCCACCCTCTTCCTGTCACTCCTTCGGGAATTGAAAGCCCCTGTGCTCAGGGGTGACTTGCCCACGTCCTCCAGGAGCCATGCAGCTGAGAGGAAGGGGCCCCAGCTAAGAGACAGCGCCGCCTAATCCCAGCGCCCCTCTGCTCTCGGGGCCATGGGGCCACCCGGCTCCTGGCTGCTGCCCCGGGGGTGGGGGGGCATGGGACGGAGGGACAGGACGGGGCCGTCGGGACACAGAGCAGGGGCGGGCCGGGAAGTGCAGGTCCTCCCTCCCTCCTTGCAGGAGAAGCCCCCGGCGGATGCGGGGGCAGGGGTGTTGCAGCGCGCCAGGTGGCGGCAGACGCCAGTTTTCCTCGCTGCCTCAGACCTCGTCTCACCGACGCGCTCCGACTGCCTGTGCAGAGGGCGCAGCCGCCGTCTCGGCACACCCTCCTCCCCGCACGGGACGAGCTCCCTGCTGCCACCACTCACGTTTGCCTTGTTCGCCTTAAAAGACCATCTCCGTCCCGGGCCTGCGACCCCTCTGCTCTGTGCCCGTCCTGAGAGGCTGCTGCCCACAGCTCAGCCCAGGGGCTTGAGACGTGGGAGGGTCTCGGGAGGTTCCGGCAACGCTGAGCTCCTCCTCCTTCAGCCGCGCTCACACCCGCTGGCAGCAGGGGTCCCTGCAAATACCTGCAACTGTGCCCGTGTCCGCCTCCGTGTCGCACCCCACGTCCACGCCCACCTCTGCGCCCACACGCGGGCCCGCGCAGCTGGCTCGGTGGCAGGTCCCCGTCCTCGCAGGGGGGGACCTTTGCTGCTCCTCTGCAGTGACGTCCTGTGATTCCGCAGCAGGATGACCCCCAGGGGCCCTCGTCGCCTAATGCTGCCATTGGTTTTTTGCAAAGTGTCATCTGCACCATCATTTGGCCTAGACTTACGTCTGTCTGAGTTAAGCAGTTTAAACTTCGCTCCAACATAGGAGGGACTGGGGGGGGGGTGTGAAAAGAGGAGGTTTGCTGGGCTGTCAGGTCAGAAGTCTGGGGATAGAGAACAAAGGCAGAGGGAAAAGGAAAAGTGGAAGAAGGCAGAATTCTGAGGCAGCTCAGTCGCGGGATGGTGGCTTACTTGGGGTGATGTTTCCCGGGATCTGTGTGGACCTGCGCCTCTGGGAGTCCGCAGAGGGCGGTGCGTGGGCAGCAGTCGGGCTCCACAGGTAATAGGCCACGTGTCTGCCTGGGGCAGCGGGGCTGTGGGAGGAGCTGGAACAGGCTGGGCGGCAGGGAGAGGCTGGAGAGGCTGTGAAGCTGCAGGACCCTCGGTGACTTCCTGCAGCTGTCCTGGGTGCCACTGGAGGGCGCCAGGCAGGAGCCTGGTGGGCGGGGCCCCCTCTCCCGTGCGCCTACACTGCGCAGAGATGAGGGATGACGGAGGAAGACCAGCAAGGAGGTGTGGGGCCCTCCAGCCGTTCCCCTCGGCTCTGGCCCCCTCCCTGCTGTCTCTGCATGTGGGGCTAACCCACGGAGTGTCACCTGAGCTGTGAGCCGCCTGACCTGAAACCCCAGTTGGTGGTGTCGCCCTGCTGATCCCCAGGCTGCTTGGTCGCTGGGGCTCATGGCGAGGCTCCAGTGGGCAAGGCTCCGGTGGGCCCTGGAGGGCATCTGCCCCGCCTTCCCGCTGTGGGGACCTCGCTGGGGCTATGTGTCCTGGGGGGTTTGCTGGCGAGCCCCAGTGTGTGGTGGGGCTGGGGGAGGCAATGCCGTGGCAGCTAGGATGTGAGGAGCAGAGACACCAGACGCTGGGCGTGGGAGCAACCCAGGCAGGGGGACAACCAGTGAACACCAAGCAGTTCTCCGAACTCCCTCCTCTGAAGGACCCGCCTTACCCTCGCCCCTGGTCAGGGAGTCTGCAGCCCCCTGGGCTGCTGGGACCCCGAGTCCTGTGTCTCCCT